AAACTCAAATAAATACCCTAATCTTGAACCTGAAGCTTCTAGAAAATGAAGAGCAAGTCAAACCCAAGGTAGGTACAAGGCAGGAAACTATAAAGATCAGAACAGAAATGAATGCAACTGAGACTGAGAATACAAAGATTTAATAAATTGAAGAGTTAGTTCTTAGAAAGATTAAATAAGATAGAAAAAACCCTAGTTAATTTTATCAAAAACAGGAAAGAAAAGACTCAAATTCATGCAACTAGGAATGAAAAGGGTGAAATCACAATTGGTCCTATAGAAATTCACAAGATAATCAATACCTACTTGAGAACCTGAACTCCAATAAGAAAGAAAACTCAGAAGAAATGGACAGATTGCTAGATACATAGGAATTGCCAAAGCTGAATCAAGAAGATATAAAAATTCTAAATAACCCAATATCAATTAATGAAATTGAAGAAGTAATTAAAAAGCTACCAACCAAGAAAAACCCAGAAACATCTATCACCAATTTCTTTAGAAAGATCTAACACCAATTCTTCTCAAACTCTTTAGTAGAATTGAAAAGAAGCAATAATGCCAAACTCATTGCTGTATCACCCTGATGCAAAAACCAGAGAAAGTTTCAACTAAAAAAGAGATCAACGGAAAAGATTAGAAATGTGGAAACAACTCCAAACACACTCAGCTCGCTTATCTTTGACAAAAGGGACAAACAGCTGCAGTGGAAGAAAGATAGCATCAGATGATGCTGGAAAAACTGGGCTTTCCACATGCTGAGGATTAAAACTAGACCCATATCTCTCACCATGCACTAATCTAAAATTGAAATGGATCAAAGATCTAATTATTAAAACAGAAACACTAAATCTGCTGGAAGAGAGAATAGGTAGAATTCTTGAAGACTTATGTGTAGGCAAAGATTTTTATGAACAAAACCTAGTCACATGGCAAATATTACAAAGAATAATCAGCTGAGATCACATCAAATTAAAAAGCCTTTACATAGCAAAAGAAGCCACCAAGAAAGTGGAGAGACAACCCACAGAATAGGAAAAAAAAATTTTATCAGCTATTCCTTAGAGAAAGGACCAATATCTTAAATATATAAAGAACTCAAAAAAATGAGATCCCCAAATTGACTCAATCTAAAAATGGGTATCTGAAATGAATAGACACTTCTCAGATGAAGTGGAAACAGCAAATAAATACACACACAAAAAAATCTTCGACATCACTGGTCATTTAAGAAATGCAAATTAAAAGAACACAGAGATTCTGTCTCACTCCACAAAGAGTGGCTATCATTAAGCAAGCAATTCAACCAATAACAAAGGCTGGCAGAGCTGTGAGGAAAAAGGAATCCTTTTCCAATCTTGGTGGAAGTGTGGACTGGTGGAACCACTGTGGAAATTCTTCAAGAGAACTAAACCTAGAGATTCCATTTGATCCTGCTAGTCCCCTTTTAGGTATCTTCCTAGTAATGGCTAAATCTTGGAAACAGCCCAGTTGCCCATCAACAGATGAATGGATAAAGAAAATATGGTTTTATATACAATGGAGTACTACACTGTCATAAGGAAGGGCAAACTTGAGACATTTTAAAGTGGATGCACCTTGAGAACATAAGTGAAATAAGTTGGACAAACATGTTTAGATTTTACATTGTTTCTTTTATGTGAGAAATCAGAGGAGTAAATGATGAAGATATATGATAGACATTGGGAAGTAGGATGAAAATTATTTAAATGAGAAAGGGAACAAGTGTGGGGTAAAGGGTATGGGAAGGAATAGGGATAAAAAAGAATGAAAGGAAAATAATATAACACAAGTTTTGTAAAAGGAAGAGGGGAAGAAGAATTTAAGGGAAGGAAGGAGAATGAAAAACACAAAAACAATGAAGATATAGTATATATAGGTACAGATTCTCCATTAATGAATGTGATCATTATGTATGTCAATAGTGTACCAATAAATATAAGTTCAAAAAATGAATTGAGTTGTTTAAATATTTGCTCCAAAATATCTAAATAGGATATATATCTGTTCCCTGAAATCTCAAGTAATTTATGCATTAAACCATTTAAGCCTCTTGTTTTGGGAAGACGATTCTTTGATCATTTTCTCAACTTCTGATTGAACTAATCTACCTAACCACGACTCTTCCTGGCTAAGTTCTCTCCCCTCAAAAACCATTATTTAAATAATGTAGCATACGAGACATAGGCAGGGCAGGACTCAGCATTCGCACAGCAAAAATGGGTGTGGGAACAAAACAGACCTTGTTGGAGACTCACTATCCTCTACTTATATCTGGCGTATTTCATTACCACAGCCCCTGGAAAGAAACCACTCACCAAACATGCAGGAGAATTCTCTGACTTATTACTCTTTTTCTTTTGGTAGTTTTTCTTTTGCTCTTTGTATTTTTTTTTTAATTTTTGTTTTGTGTTACCTGTTTGTCTTTTTCTGTTACATTTACCTATTTCTACTAACTTTTTCATTCTTTAGTTGAATTTTATTACACTTTTACCTCTTCGTCATCTTCCTTTTCCTTTAAATTATACTTTTCATTTTTGCCTTCCTTTGCCCCCTTATTTTATTATTACTACTATTGAGCTTTATTAATTTTTAGCTAGATAGCTGACTATGCTATTACTGCTGAATTGTTTTTTATTGTTCATGGTGGTATCTTTGTGGCTTTCAGTAGATATTTAGCATATGTCAATATATGGCTAGTATTTGCATCTACACTATTATTGCAGATCTCTTTCCTATTATTAAGGATAGTAGAGTTGTAGCTATTACTGGCTCTTCTTTTATGTCAATAACCTATTTGCCTTTGACTATTATTATTGTTGATGTCTTTTCTATTCTTTTGTTTGTTTTTGTTTTTTTGAGATAGGGTCTCACTATGTAGTTGAGACTGACCTGGAACTCACTATATAGCCCAGGCTGGTCTCAAACTTACAGCAATCCTCCTACCTCAGCCTCCCGAGTGCTGGGATTACAGGCGTGCGCCACCACGCCCGGCTTTTCTATTCTTAATCGTGACATAATTGTTGCTTTCAACTCATTTTTACTGAATGCCAATATCTTATTTGTCTTTGTATCATCAACATTACTGTAGTTCATTTTCTCCCCTCTAAATGGTGCTGGAGATCAAATTCCCAGAAGAGAGTTGGATGCTAAGAAGACCCTCAAATATTATGCAGAGCAGGTTGAAGAAGTACAAATGCCAAAACATAACCATCCACAGACATATCACAGGCAGACAAAATTTAACTAAGGAGATTGCCACAGTAGTGACAGGGTTTCTTTAACCTAACTGATTTTCAGCCTATAGTGGAAAAACAATAAAAGTGTGAGAAAGCAAGGCAACAAGATGCCTCTGAAAATCCTAACTCCCCAAGAGTTTGACTCATAGACAATAAAGTAGTAGATGGTATGAGCGAAGAACCGAGCTACCAAATGATCAAAATGCTTCAAGAGATACAAAAGAGCCAGGGATTTAGCTCAGTGTTTCCATTTCCTAGGGATTTAGCTCAGTGTTTCCATTTCCTACCTTGCAAGCACAAGGTCCTGAGTTCTATTCCTCGTACCAAAAAAAAAAAAAAAAAAAGGGAGAGAGATACAAAGATGCATACGATGTTTAATGAGTTCAAAGAGAATTTACTTAAAAAGATAAAGGATTTTACTAGGAAAATGTTTGATGAGCTCAAAGAAGGAAAGATTTATTTTTGCTCATAATTTCAGAGGTTTCAATCCATGATTGGCCCCCTTGTTTCTAGGCCTGTGGTGAGGCAGAACACTACGGGGAATTGAGGGCAAATGAAAGCTACTTACCCTTGGCAACCTGGTGTGAGGAAGTGGAAGAGGAACAGGAAGAAGGAGAGGAGGAGGTGAGTAGAGAGGGAGAAGGAGGGGAGAGGAGGGGCAGGGGAAAGAGAGTGAAAGGAGAGAGGACAGGTCAGAGACAAGATACAGACTGCACAGATGTGCCGCCATGCTCCTCTTCTTCCACCTAGGCTCCACCTCCTCAACCCTGTCACCTCCCAGGGACACTGTCATATTACCAGTCCACTGGTGGACTGATCCATTAATAAAGCTGGCACCCTCGTGTCGGTCCAGTCATCTCTCCAGGCCTCACCTCTGAGTATTGCTGCCCTGGGGACAGAGCCCTCGATACATGAGTTTTTAGGGGACATTTCATATTTAAACCATAACAGCAGTCAGGACCAGAGCCATTGCTTACAGGGCTTTGACTCTGTGCTAACCACAATTCACTCTCATTTCAAGCATTACTTCATTTAATCTTAACAATAATCTCATTTTACAGATAAGAAAACTGAGCAGCAGAAAAATTAAGAAGCTCAAGGGTGCAAGCAAATAAGCAACACACACAACTAGACATTCTGGTTTCAAATACTGGATTCATACATATGATGTGTGGCAGTATAATATAGTACCGTAGTGGCAATCCTATGGCATGGGTGCTGCAGTGGGCTGTTTGTTATCACTAAAAGCTCTAAAACCTCGTCATCACTAGTATAATGGGTATTGTGACAAGGACAGGTATCCATCTGTAATATTAGGGAAGAGTTTACAGACTTGAGGAAAACACAAAAGTGATCAGTCACCAACAGTAGTTTTGGGGAAAAAACAGACTTGTATAGAACTGCTTATAAAAACAACCATAGAAAATGTCTACAATGATAAATACACAAACTAAGAGGAAAAGGAATACAGTACAATTAGATAATAGTTCAGAAAAAATTTGTAACACATTATATTAAAACAGTTTCTAAGTAAACCAGTGGCTTAAACTCAAGATATAAAAATATAGGCAAGAGAAGCTGAGGATGCAAGCCTCCAGCAATTCCTTTACCCCTCCAAGAACCAGGCACGTAGACGCTGATCTAAGCCAAAGACAACAGCTCTAGGTGTGTCTCACCACGACAGAGCAAGGAGCTGTGTGGAGAGGACACCTGCACGTGACGACTGCCTCTGTGAAGCAGCCAGCAGGGGAATGTGAAAGAATCTTGCGAGAACAACACTTCAAAGGCTTCCACTCAACCTGCTTCAACAGTTCAGGGAGCTCATGCTTCTCTATCGCTCAGCAGATATCATTAAGAGGATCTGCACCAGTGACAGCTGTACCTCTTCCTGGAGAGCAAAGACAGGTTCAGCAGGTCATCCAGACAGCTCAGTCTTCTGTAATTCACCCACTTCACGTGCAAACGGTATCACCTTTATCAGAAAGTGCAGTCTCAGAATTCATCTGACAGCATAGGCTCCTCACAGAAAGCTTTTGGGATCCTAGCACGGTGGCCATCTTACAGAAAAAAATTTGAAAGACTGGTCTACTGAAGATACACGGAGAAGAAAAGGAGGCGCAGAAAACCTCGGAGTTCCTGCCATCACTTCTATGTCTGTTCCAACTCCCATCTATCAGACCAGCAGCGGACAGTACATTGCTATTGCCCCAAATGGAGCCTTACAGTTGGCCAGCCCAGGAACAGATGGTGTACAGGGACTCCGGACATTAACCAGGAACAATTCGGGCAGTACTCGGCAAGGTAGGACTCTCCAGTATGCACAGACCTCTGGTGGACAGCAGGTACTTGGGCCCAGTGACCAGGTAGTTGTACAAACTGCATCAGGAGATATGCAAATGTATCAGATCCGTTCCTCACCTTCAGGTACACATCACTGCCACAAACTGGTGATGACATCTCTGGGGACTCTTACATCTCAGACAACTAAGACAGATGGCCCCCAACTGAAGAGAGAAAAAAGGCTGATGAAAGACAGAGGAGCTGCTCTAGAATGTCGCAGAATGAAGAAAGAATATGTGAAATGCCTAGAAAATCAAGTTGCAGTCCTGGAAAATGAAAATAAAACTCTAATAGAAGAGATAAAAACTCGGAAGGATCTTTATTCTCATAAAAGTGTTTGATTCTTTAAAAAGAATATTTTTGTGGACGTCTCTAAAAAGTTAGATGGATTATTTTTGTAGTGGAGTTTTAGAAATTAAAAGGTCAAAAATGAAGCTAATAGGCTTTTGCAACTCAAAAATAAATGTCTTATCCAAGAGATTTGGTGACAGAGGATACAATGTAAAGTGACATGGAGGAAGCTACTGGCACAACTGGAAGCTTTGTAAAAATTAAATGTAAGAAGTAAGAAATGAACTTTCAGCAATTTGAACATTCTAACTAGTCATCAGTCCAAAAATGGCAAAGAAGTCATCTATCCAAATTCAGTAAATAAAAATTTTAAAAATAAATCAGTTTCCCCTATAGGTTTGCATTTCTGTTTCCTGAAATTTAGAGTACAGTTATTAAGGCAACTTTATGTTAGAGGCTATTTTGTTATGTAGCGAATGGTACCTTTATAAGAAAAGTGACTGCCAATATATTTTTATAGCTAATCTTTATAAATGTTAATGTTGAGTTTTTAACAATTATTTTAAAGGTTTATATAGTCTAGTAAAAAAGATTTTGCATCTCAAAGTATCACTTTTATAAATGAGAAGTAAAGTTTTCAAATTAGCTAATATTTGAATTATATGTTTTATATGCAGTTTATCTAAAATTTGAAATGCTGTCTGTATACCAGTGTTTAACCCCTGTACTCTAATTTGTATGCACTTTGAAACTGTACTGCAGAACTATCTATTGTGTGATTCTTATATAATACATTTTTTTTTTTTTTTAGACAGGGTCTCACTATATAGTTGAGACTGCCCTGGAACTCACTGTGTAGCCCAGGCTGGACTCAAATATATAACACATTTCATATTGTCTGTGAAATTAAAGAGTATTTGATAAAATTTGCTGAATACAGTATAACATACTATATATTCAGAGAAGGGAAACTTCCTATGTATAAAATAAATAAATAAGTCATAAAAGATTGAAAAAATGAATCATATACAATTGTTTAAGTCTCTTGAATGGGAAAGCCGTCAAAAGCTAAGAAAAGGAAAATGAAAAACCATAAATTGGGAATATCTTTATAATTCATGTCATAAAGAGATTGTGGAGAATGGGACATAAAAATAATTTTCGTTATAGATAGTAGAACAATGAGAACATTTGTCATTGTTTTGGCCCCAGAATTGTGCCTAACAAAATACAGACTGTCCTGGAACATGAGAACACTCTGTACTTGGTCTCATTCTTCATAACCAAGGATGTGGCTCCAATGACCTGTGGCATCTCCACCCTTACCACAAAAAGCACTCTGTCCCCTCTAGGCTCTAGCTCTAACCCCTCTCCTGTGTGCTGCAGGATGTCTCATGATAAATTCAATAAATTTCCTTCTGCACCTCTTCTGTCCTTGGTAAATTCTTTTTACTGTTTGTGTTACTAGACTTCTATCAAGTATAGCAAAGATATTTTCTTCAATATGTAGAGTTTCCAAATTCAATAATAAAATTACTCAACAACTCAATAGCTAAATACACAAATAAAACATCCACAAAATATAAACCAAATCTTAGAGAAAAAAATGAAAATACATATACGTCATAAAACAAGAAATTACATGTGGCTCTTGAACATAAGAAAAAGGATTTAATCTTATTCATTAGTGGATAAAAATGATATTGTTATATCATATTTCAGGAAATTACTAAAGTCAAAAAGTTTACTAAAGTCAATGTATGGGGGCAACAGACAGTGTTATATGTTGCTAATCCTCTGCCCAGAATGTTTTAGAGTATCTATAAAAATTGCATATGCACATGCTCTTTTACCTAATAACTCCTTTCCTGAAGTCTATTTCATAGTCCTATTCTTGTATAAAATGACATATGTATAGTGGGAACTTATTGAACCATTATTTGCACTAGAAAAATGTTTTCTTAAAATACATAAAAGACTCTGCGATACTGGTTAAAGAAATTGTTCTTCATTTATAAAATGGGACCATTTCAGTCAATGCAAAAGCTCTCTACTTATGAGGTAACATCTACAAATTTCTATTTCTATTTCCTACATTATATTCCTATTTCATGCCCCTTTCTATCTCCATATTGGCTTCATCCTGAAGCTTGTTCCTTTGTGACAGTAAGATATATGTAGCTGTTAAGAGGTCACATGCAAACACAACTTCTAGCAAGGAAATTGCTGTCTCACTTCAGGTTCATTTTCCTAGAAGTGAATAAATCAGCCCAGGAGCCCTCTAGTGGATATGCCTTTAATACCACATAAACCAGTTTTGAGAGACCAGCCTATCTGACATAGTAAAGGGATTATAAGTATGTAGATGAGTGGTCCCATCCTGGAGCAATTTTGCCCTAAAAGAGGGTATTTGCCCACATCTGGAGTTATTTTTAGTTGTCACAACTTAAGAAGAGGGTGGTACAGTCATCTAATGAGTTGACATCAAGGATACTGCAATGTGTATATAGAGGAGTTCTTATAAAAAAGTTATTAGACCCTAAATGTCAATAGTATGGAAATTGACTTAGATTCATTTAGTGAGAGACTCATGTTAGGATTTCATCCACCTTGACCCTTATAATAGCCTTGATTTGCAAAAGGTCAATTGTCTGCACTCATCTTTTCAGTATACTTCACTAGGTTATGTACTTGTGGCCAGAGTAAAGGAACTAAGTGATCCCATTAGGATGACATGGTTAAAATGAGAGAGAATTGCTATTATTTGAAGAAGCTCAGCTATGCAGCAATATATGATCACTATAACAAGGCAGTATAAATGGAGAGAATATTTAAGGATATCAAAAGAATTGCTAAAAGTTGCTGATTTACTACATGTAAATCATTGGAGGGATGATGAAAAGATTGTTAGAAAAGGAATGACTGGAAGATTTTATAACTAACTTGGTGAGGGGCTGGGGATTTAGCTCAGTGGTTCTGCCACGTGCCTTGCAAGTGCAAGGTCCCGAGTTCAATATGCAATACCAAAAATTAAAATTAAAATTAAAAAAAAGAATGTAATTGTTTAGGGCCGGGAATTTAGCTCAGCAGTTTGGTGGCCTGCCTTGCAAGTGCAAGGACCTGAGTTCAATCCCTGGGACCAAAAAAAAAAAAATCTTGGTGAGGTAGGGGGGGATTAGTACTATTTTAGAGTCCACTTACCTTCAGCAGCATTTATTTGGCTGCAATTATAAGGTCTGATCTTATGGGGATATCCTTGAATTTTTGTTATTAGTATACATTTGCAGTTATGATTACATTTATTGTGGGGAGTTGGTACATGTACACAACATCTCTTAATTCTGTTTTTCATTCCCTACCTCTCTTATTCTTCCCTGCTATTTCCATATTTTGGTTCCCTTCCCATTTGCAAAAGCTCTATTCTCACTTTTGTCATCCTTATTTCTTGCCCTTTCTCCCACCTTCCTCCATCTCTTGCTCCTCTTTCCATGTGAAAAACATCTCCTACTTTCTATTATCTGTCTTTTAGTTTACTCTTTATACTTTGGGTTTCTCATAAGAGAAACCATATAACATTTATGCTTGTCTCTGATTTATTTCACTTAATATTATGATCACTAGGTATATCCATTTAAAATGCTTAAAATTTATTCTTCTTTATGAAAGAGTAGTTCTCCATTGTCTATAAGCACATTTTTTAACCATTCATCTGTTGATGTGCATACAGGCCATTTCCAAGATTTAGCTGTTATAAACTGTGGGGCTATTAACACAGATCTATGTCTATTATATATGTGATGCATGAATGCATCACTGTAGTATGAAGATATCTGGAAGGGAAATAGCTGTATCAATTGGAATTTCTAGTTTTAGTCTTTGAGAAGTCTCCATACTGATTTCTGCAGTGGGTGCACTCATTCATATTCTCACCAACATTGTAGGGGAGTTCTTTCTCTGTAGCCTCACCAGTATTTGTTATTATCTGATTTTTTGATGGCATCTTTCTGGAGTAAGATGGAATCTCAGTGTTTGTTTTTGAGAAAATGCTTTTTAATGTGAAAATTGTATTTGGGCACAAAAATGCAATGCATAACTTGCAACCATTATTCTGTCAATAAGGACATTATTATCTCAACTAAGAACAGAAATTTCGTTAAGGCATGCCAAGCAGACAAAAAAACCTGTAAAGTTCTATTAAACATATTTTGCTAGGGAAAAAGATGTTTGACTCTGGTCACAGTTCCATCATGTCTGCCTTCTTTGTAAGTTCAGTCTCAATGGTATCTAATTCTCTCTTTACTTCTTCAATTTTCACTTCCACAAGAGACAGATTCAGTACTAAATGTAAATCTGAGTTCCTCTGTCTTTGCTTTCAGGAAGTCCATGTTCAGTAGATGATGGTCCACTTTGGCCTTTTCAGCAGACAGGTGGAGCTCTGCTTTCTTGAGGTCTTTTTGCAGGCATTTTTTCTAACACTAAGATTGCCATCAGATTTTTTTTCAAGTTTTCCCAGTTGAAGCTGGAGTTTTTAATTTTTGGTTTGGCATGAAAAAGATCAGCGATCAAATCATTCACTACAGGAATAAAACTTGGTAGTGAGGTAACCTTTGTTTCAAGAGCCATTGCACTGTCAACCAAAGCATTGAGATACCTGGAACCAGTGCTAGACAGATTTTCAGGGGAAAAGTTCACACTCTCCAGGAAGCAGTCTTGAAGATGCTGGGCTTCTGATTTATATTTGTTTGCTTTTTGTTTCAAATCCTCTATTACTAGGCAGGCGTCCCTGTCCCAGACCCTGTTGCATTCTGTAAGGTGATATAAAATCTCTGTGGCCCATGGGTTCACCTCATACTGTGGAATCGGATGATCTCCAAATATTCTTTCAACCACTCAGCAACCTGCACCTCTCCTTCCATACCTCCATTTCCACTGCTCCCTCAGTGTTACTTTAATTTGCATTTCTCTAATGGCTAGCAATGTTGAACATTTTTTTTCATGTATTTATTGCCAATTTGCACTTCTGAGAACTGTTTAATCATTAAGGTTGCTC